GCACGAGGCCCCGCCCTCGGCCCCGCCCCTGGCCCCGCCCACACACCTCCCCTGGGCCGCTGAGCTGGCAGAGGCCTGGGCCCAGGCTCCGGCGACCTCCTCAGGGTTGGACACCCACTGGACCCCTCCAGGGGTTGCCCAGCACCCCGGGGTCTCACTGGGCAGCCCCCACACAGGGGCCAGGAGCAGGCATGAGAGTGGCCAAGAGCACTTTGGGGCGGCAGGGGCGTGCTGGCCCCCCAACCTGGACTCAGAGACTGAGGGCGGGGCGCAGGAGGCCAGCAGCAGGAGAGCTGCCCCCCCGGGCTTGTGGGTAGCCGCACACCCTCACCTCGCCCTGCTCACCGGCACAAGGCGGGGCCCCCGCAGGGGCGGAGTGCGGCCACCTGGCCCTCCTCAGGCTCCCCGCAGTCACGGGGGTCAGTGGGGCTGGGGGGGCCGCTGGAGGGAATGCAGGGAGCCGTGGACAGAGGCCCGGAGGCAGCGTGGGGCCAGGGGCCATGGGGGGCGGTGGGGAGGCCGGGGGTGGTGCGGGCAGGTGGGGTGCGGACCTGTCCTGCCCCGCTCGCGCTGCCCCGCAGTAAGCCCGGCGCCGGGTTCCCTAGGGGTGCGGGGCTGGCCCGGGCGCCCCTCCCCTCGCCTGGCCTCGGGAGCCGGCTGGGCTCAGCTCGCGGTGGGGCGGTGCTGGGCTCGGCGCGGCCAGGAGAGGGCGCACAGTCCGCGGGCAGGGCCCGCCCTCGCCCGAGACCCGCGGCGGGTTTGCTGGGGTTCTGCAGTGCCCCTTCTCCCCAACTCCCAGGCCGGCCCTTTCTAGGCCCCCCAGCCCCCTGGGGCCTGGACTTTGGAGCTGGAGGCGCCTCGGGCTCGGGCGCCGCTGACCCGTCCCCCCCCGCCCCCCCAGCTGTGGGGCAGCAGCGCTCCAGGGCTCCCCCCAGGGGACCCCTTTCGTCCTTCTGATCCACAGACCCACTCTGGGCGCCACCGCCCTCCCCAGGGACCGCTCACGGGGCGCCCCTCCCCCCAGGTCAGCGGCTCGGCCCTCCGCAGGCTCCATTCGAGGTCCCGGCAGCCCCGCGGGAGGGGGTGGGCGGAGCCTTCGCGCGCCCCGCCGCCGCTTGGAGTGGCCCCATCAGCAGCGACTCGCCCGAGCCCGAGCCGGAGCGCCCCTCTTCCCGATGCCGGCCAGCTGCCTTCGCAGGGTCTGGCGTAGGGACTCGAGCGGCGTCCCCAGCCAGCGGGGCGCGGAGCCCTCAGAGGCGCTCCCTCCCCTGCAGGGGCCGGGCAGGGGTCTCAGAAGAGGGGATCCGGCTAGGGGTGCAGGCGCTGTCTGGAGACGCAGGTCTGGGGCACTTGGCCGGGGGTTCCTTCCCGCCAGCAGTGCTGGGCAGGGCAAAGCGCGGGACTCAAAGAATCGCCTAGACGCCCGCTGCCGCCTGGCCCCGGCTTGCCCAGGAGCTCCAACCACTTCTGGCCCCGGGGCCAGTGGGCAGCCCCACGGGGCTGGAGGGCGGAAAGCTCCAGAGACCCCAGGAGCCTTTCTTCAGAGCTGAGACAGGGTTGGGGCGCCCAGGGTGTGCAAGGTGCTAGGGTGCAGCCCGAGCCGTGAGCAGCGGCGGCGAGGACAGGCAGGAAGCGGACTGCGGACGGACGGCGAGGCCCTGGCGCCCCTCCCGCCTCAAGCCCCCGCCGCCAGGCCCTCCCACCCGGGAGCAGGGGGCCCCCCGCTGTTCTGGAGCCTCCCCTGGGGCAGGTCCCCCGGCTCGCACTATTGTCTCCCTCCACCCCAAGAGGGGTGCGAACGGGTGCAGGGCAAACCTCCTGGCCCAGGGGCCCAGCGCCCAGCGCCCAGGACCGTAAGGTCAGGCCGGCAGCGGCTTCGCCCGGCGGAAGCCTCGGGGCGTCGTCGCCTCCGCGTCCCCGAGGGCCCCAGCGCCAAAGCGAGGGGAGAACCCGGCCGCAAGGGCGCGGGACTGCGCCGCCCCGAAACGAGCTCCAGCCCCGCGCGGCGGCAGCCCAGTGGGGCTCCCCGCGCCCCAACGCGCTGGGCTGTGCAGGACTGGCTTCGCCCACCGGCTCGGAGGGACCCTGCACGACGCCCCAAACGAAAAAGGACCCCCAAGGGTGCTGTGCGAGCGAACGCGGGGCCCTGCGCAGAGCCGAGGGCCCCCCCATCCGTCACCGAAACCCTGGAGGCTGGGCGGATCGGCAAAGTCGCCGTGACGCACCGCAGGGGCCCAGGAGAGGCGGCCGCCGGATGCCTGTTCCCCTCCCGTCCGGCCGCCCAGCGGGGCGCTCAGGTCTCGCCCCGGGCTGGCGTAAACTGGAGCCGCCGCCAGGACCGCGCGACCGCCCGCGGGGGAGGAAGGCTGCGGCGGAAGGAGCGGCTTCGCCCGCTGAGAGGCCTCCGCGATTTTATGTGAACTGGAGGGGGGGCTTTGTCCCCAGAGATGACACACGGCTCACACGCCCGCGTGCAGGTGGGCTTCGGCCCCTGCGCAGAGGACAGCGAGGGCGCAGAGGCCTGGATGACCTGCTGAGGCGCCCCCCCGCTGAGCACCTGCGGGCGGTTACCCGCCAGGTCTCGAGCTGGGGTCCGCAGCTCCGTGCTGGGGTGCCTCCTGGGAACAGAGCCTGACTGGGCGCTGGGAAGCACCAGGCGAGTGGAGGGGCTCAGGACGGCGGGCCCCTCCCGGCAAGGGAGGTGCCCAGGGCTGGGGGGGACCGGCGCAGCGCGAGCCCTCGAGCCCGCAGCCCGTCTGTGGCTCTGCGCCAGCCGTCGGTTGGTGGCCCCAGAAGAGATGCGCGCGTGGAGCTGGCCCCTGGACTCCGCGGTCCCGCGTGCACCGAGCCCGCGGGGCGCTCCCTACAACTCGCGGGCCCTGTTTCCTCCCCCGCCGCCCCAACCCAAGCCCGCTTCGGCCGGGAAGTCGGGGAGTGGGGTGGGGGTGGCGCTGGCTGCACCCCGGGGCTGCCTCCCGGGGATCTTCGCCCAGTGGGGCACACGGAGCTTGCCGAGTGGATCCTCAAATCTGCATTCGTTCAGGCGATAAAATATGTTCTCGTATTTTTTCCTGATTTCCCATTAAAACCTTTGCCTAACTAAACTCCCATCCAACCGGATTTATTTCGTCCCTGGGGAGATAAATCAGGGGGCAAATTTACAGCCCAGGAGGCACCTGCCGCGCTAATGGGCCCTTCATGGAGTGCGCTGCCCGCGGGCGCGCGCGGACGGGCGGGGCGCTGACCAATGGCCGGGCCGC